TATCATAACTTCTGCCTTTATTTTATTGCACTTACATCATCAAATTAATGTTTGAACAAATTTTTAAACTTTTTAATAACATTGTTTTGGTAAAGAAATAAAACTACTTTGTTTCATAATTTGCAAAGCATTTTCATTTTCAGATTCATGATTCAAATAATCAATTCAATATTTTTTCCCTTTCTAATCATCATTGCATCCATACCTGACTGCTGTTAGCATCTGTCATTATGGCACCAAGCATCATAAAAGATGAAAAAGTAAAAATAAAAAACACCAACATACATCCTTTTAGCAAAAAGATGTGGTTTGTGTTCTTCTTGTTGAATAACTAAGTGGATGTGAGCAATTTTCATATATCTGTGTGTGTATGTATATATAAGCTTTCAGAGCCATAAGGTTTCTGTCATGATTTCTCAAGTCTGCTGTTGTAAAGTAAAAGCAGCCATAGACAATATATAAATCAATAGGTACGACTGTTTCAATAAACTCTGAATAGAGTAATATATTTGTAGATTGTGGGCTCAAGTTAAAAGGTTCATACACAGGTTAAAAAAACTTCAAGGCTTCAATGATTTTTCACTGTAGTGAAAAAACTGAGTTATTTTTTGAACACATATCTTTTTAAGAATAGGTCAACTTCAATACTTGCTTTCTTTTGGAAATTTTTAACATTACTAATGTTTTATTATGACGTCACGATGATAAGAGTCCCAAGGCTTTGAAGAAGAAACAGGTGAGAAAATCTTCAAGCAATCTAGTTTCATCTTTGAAATCAGCATGGGTCAGTCATTTCTTCTCTGTAGGTGTGCAGAAACCTGGAAACTTTTCAACTGTAAGAATCAAATGGGTGGCTCAAAAAACAAGAATAGCCCTTATGCTGCAAGATTCTACAAGTCTGGTCCTAGTCACAAAAGAGAATTAATGTTAACTAGCAGATATTAAGATTGATAAGGACCCAAAGATATCATGTTGCTGGTATGTATGTTTTTGGAAGGAACTGAGCCCAGGATCTCATGCACGTTAGGGTAAGCACTCTGCCATTGAGCTTATATCCCCAGGACTGTTTTTTTGCTTGTTTTGAGAAAGGGGTCACCCTATATTGCTCAGCCTGATCACAAATTCATAGCTTAAACAATCTTCCTACTTCAGCCTCCCTGGACTACAAGCCTGTGCCATCACACACAGCCCAAAAGCTGCTGCTTTTCATTTTCTTCTTTTTCCTGTTTGTTTGTTTTCACCATGGAGCTTCTGAAGATACTGAAGGCATTCCATAAGGTCTTATTAAAATTTCTATATTGCATGATTTGACATGCATATAAAAAAGTGCCCTACATATAATTTATTAGCAATAGTCTTAGATTAGTATTTTCTGCTAAAGGCAATTCTATTTTCCCTATGTATTTAAGGTCATCTATTAATCCTGGGTAATATTAAGACTGAAGGAAAAAAATGCAGTGTTGGGATTAGGACTAAGTTTGTGAAATGTGATAAAACTTGGGGAAATTGTTACAAATGCAAAAGCCAATGTGCAAAAACTAAACAACTCTGTGTTACATGGGATTTATGCAATAATGGCCTAATCGGCCTAAGAATAGTCCTAAAAGAGGAATGACTGGAACAGGGTCGGTAAGTACTGTTTTGCTCTGCCTCTCTCCCTTTTTAAGTTTTACTTTGAGACAGAGTCTAACTAAATTGTTCAGGCTAACTTCAAATTTACATTACTCCTACCTCCTAGCCTTACAAGTAGCTAGGATTACTGGCATGTGTCATAGTGACCAAACTGGAATGTAATTTTAACTAAATAAACAAATTTGGTTTCATTAATCTCCCTGAAAAGTTTGGCTTATAGTACAAAATGGTTTGAAAGACAATTATAAATGAAGAGCAAAAATCCCGTAGTATAATTCCAATGCCATCCAGGGAACATCAAGGGTCATGAACTTCAAACTAGTTCATTTTATCAATCACACCCCCCTAATTATCTCACTAGTAAAGACGCACACTATTAGAGACTAATCCTCTTAGCTAATAGGATCAATTAACTCCCCCAATACTCTGAAACTTTTCGTCTTGACAAACCTCTTTTTTTTTTTTTTTTAAATTAAGGACTATACAGGGCTTCCCATGAAGAATTCTTTCCAGTAAACAAAGATGACAAAAGCAGGGTGCCAGCTCCTTTAGAAGTTAGGTTTCTTAACAGACATTTGGGTTTACATTGTTTCTTGTTTATTAGTCACCTCTCAATGATTTTCATTACCCTTAAAAGCATTTTTAAAAATGAGATCCAAGGGCCTGGGGCTGTAGCTCAGCGGTAGAGTGCTTGCCTAGCACATGCAAGACCTGGGGTTCTATCCTCAGCATCACATTAAAATAAATAAATAAATAAAATAAAGGTATTAAAAAAAAAAAAAAAGAGATCTAGGCTTTCAAAAAATTTTCTCAAACTATGGTACTTTGACTACCTGCATCAGAATCACTTAAAATTTAAAAAACAAGTTCAAGGCTTTCAAAAGTATTTCTCAAATTATAGTACTCTGACTATGAATAATCTTGGGCTGAATCAAAATCAGGTAGATTTTATATAGAGGTAGATTTTCATTTTTATTTTTTTGTGGTGCTGGCAATAGAACCCAGGGCCTCACAAGTGCTAGGTGACTGCTCTTCCACTGAGCTATATCCTGAGTCCCCAGGAGATTCTTAGCTCATACCAAAATAAGAATTACTGCTACAATATGCTTATTATTATGCCAACCTTAGACTGGATTAAATTTCAATTTACGAAAAACAAAAATCTGCAGTATAAAATGTTTTATCAATCTATCCAGTAAGAGAACTCTTATGGTAGACTACTTACAGTGCTCCATTATTTATTTTTATTTTTTCTAAAACTCAATCTAGTTTCAAATGAAGAACTGAGGCAGTTTGCAACAAAATTAAACATGAGACATCGAAATATTAATATATAAACAGGTATAAACAACAATAATTATGCCCCAAACCAGTAGACAATACCATAAAACAACCAATCATCTATATAGCTATGAGGTTTTTAGTAAACAGGGCAAAACAAATATAAGAAAATAAAATGAGATCATTACCATATGATACAAGGCTACATTGACAATTTTATTTTAGTCTAATGGATAATTTCAATAACTTTCTTCATGTGAAAACTTTCATAGCAACTGTAAAAAGGGCCAGGATATAATTTCACAGGCATTTCCTCAGAAAGAAGATAATGAGGCAATCTTTCTTGCTATCTAAATTAATCAATGCAGTGCTGATTTGGAGAGAAGTCAAAGTTTGAGAGAATGACTGGCCTATCTTTCCATCTAGCCAATGTTTCAAGCACAATTTTAACTGTTTTTGAATGTCAATTCAAAACATTCGGTAAAGAGGTTAAATAGTAGAGAATTTCATCATAGAATAACAATACAATCATCCCAACCTTATCAGAGCTTAATCATCTTGGCACTGCTTCTCTGAAACAGATTTTTAACTATTCTCTAGCCATATGCTATAATATACATATTTGCTATAAATATAATTATGCTTACTTTAAAACTAATCACCAGGAGTCTAATTGCATTAGCCTATCAAATGAGGTTGACTATATTCTCCATTTGATCATTGGCTCAAAATAAGGACCTTCATCTTGGCAGAGTTGTTGCTTAGTTTTCTGCCATAAAAACAGCAGTTTTGTTCATTCCTGAATAGTGAATAGTGAATTCATGTCATCAGTAAAGACTTTAAGATACTGATCTTCCTATTTGCTAGCATAGAATTAACTACCTATCAGGCATACCTAAAAGCCATATGAAATTATCTAATTGGAAGTAGAAAAGGAGGCAAGGCAATAATTACAAAAAAATACCATCACATTCCTTTTGATATTAAGCAAGCTATTACTTCAGATGACAACTGCTACTCATTCTGTTCATATGCAAAATCGGGCCAACTTTTAAACAACAGTAAGTCAGAGTCCATGCCAAGTTCATAAAATTCTGTTTCTACTCTCTCAAGAGATGACACATCAATACATGCTACGAAAAGTCTAATAATCTTAACTGTCTTCCAAAGAACAAACAACATATATTGATGAAATGAGTAAAAAGTACATTTTTCTCATGCAAGAATTGAGAATGCTACAGATAAACATTTCCACGTGATATCTAGTAAACCTTGTAATTTGAAGAAAAAAGTTGGTTGTTATGCAAAACCAGGTTGACTATACTTTGTGTCAATGTGAGCATGAGCCTTAAAGAAGTCAACTGAAGACTTTAGCAAGGACTGGGGATGGGGAATTATATGATGAACTTCAAGTGCCAATCTGGAGTGAAAAGTCATATAATTTTACTTAGAGTGATCAAATACAATGAATTACAATAAATAGTAATAAAATAGGTAAAAGTTCTGAACTTTATCAAAATCATTTTTGTGGAGATAAAGAAATGCAACATAAATAACCTTGTTCTCTAGAAATCTATAAACCATGTCATTTTATAAGACACTGCAGAAACTCGGGCCTGACTCTTCTTGTAAGTAACCTGTATAAATATAGACTAAAATTTTTACTTTTTTTAAAATAAAGAAATTGTTTATAAGAACATTTTAATTTGAATTCCTCTGGGGTCTGCTTATGATATTATTTATCTTGGCTAAATTTGTGGGGAAGTTTTCTTGCTTGTTACTAAATTCCTGAGAAAACATATGGGGAACTTCTTCCAAAAGATAACTTTAAAACGCTAAGAATTTGCTGGATTTTAGTCACAGTTATATTCAAAATATTTTACACACACTGATGATCCTTTATAAAATTATAAAAAATAAAAACAAAATCTAATAACATTTATCACAAGCATATACAAATAAAAAGTTAACAGAATCAACTTTAATTGATATGAGAATAATATTAAGTATTTTACCCCAAAGTTTGTACAATTTAACATGAAAACACAAACAGCAACTGAAAACCAAATCAAGTGAGAAGTTCATACCTAATAGTCCAGTATGTACATCATCTTCATTTTTCAAATTCTCAGCATGCAATTCTGTAAAAACAAAAAGAGGTTTAGGTAGAAAAGATTCATAATCTGAAGACTAATTCAAAGGCTTGGAAGACACTGTAGAACTCCATAAAGTGCTCTGGAGTAAGGAATGGATTCAAATTTTGATTCTGTTTACTAGCTACATGATCATCAGCAAGCAAAGAAGACCTCCATACTGTCAACTGCCATACATATGACAGTGGTGTTCATATCCTGTGGTTGTTGTGATACCATTTTATACAAATTTAAGGACATACTAAATTTTTTCAGTTCCTTTCTCCATTCTCCAAAGTATAAACATCTTCTGCAATGATCTTCTACTTACCACAGTTTTGCCTTTACAAAAGTGATATCTCAGAGCAAAGCAATAAAATAGCTAAAAGACAAAACTATCCGGGTTATAGTAAAAAAAGGGGAAGGGAGTGATACAGGAATTAAACTGTGAGCCAGGAGAGGTGGCCCACACCTGTAATCCAAGCTACTCCACAGGCTGAGGCAGGAGGATCCCAAGTTCATGGCTATCTCAAAAAACAATTATGGCTAGGGATGTAGTTCAAAGGTAAAGTACCCCTGGGTTCAATCTGCCAGAACCCCTACAAAAGAAATGAAACAATGGCAGCCAAACATTTAAGATTGACAAGTTTAAATACAATACTGTTATGAGGAGGTAAATTTCACACATTAACTTGCAAATCTTGTCTTCCGTATGAAAATCAAGCATGGTAAGCTGTTACAGGCCATTTGGAGCCCATTACCAGCTGGTCCAAAATGATAGTGTTGAGTGGTTGAGTGGTTTTCATAAAACGAAGATTTTTTTGTTTTACTTTTTTTTTTCCCAGTAATTTGGACAAAGTCATACAATAGTAAGAATTGGGATTTAAACTCAAATTTTATTCTTTTCACTGTAATACACAAGATCCAAACAAATAATACATTTATGAAAGTCCCCTTGGGGGAAAAAAAACTTTCACAAGTCTATTTTTATTCCAATATGGCTAATATTTTAACTTGAGACAAAGAAGATAAAATTAGTGAAAAACAAGACTACACCTCCTGCAATAAAACTTTGCATACAAACGGCCAATGCCTACCCTTAGTACCTACTACTCAGGAGGACTGCAAATTGGAGACCAGCAGGGGCACCACAGTGAGACCAAGTCTCACAACAAAACCAAAATATACTTTGTGTACTAAATCTAGTTACAAACACCACAAAATTAAGAAAGGCTAGTTATTTTACCTATAAAAGTAGAAATCTGAGCTGTGGGATGGAAATCCTAGACCTTGAAGAATCTTCAATGTACCCAGGAATAAATCGGTACCATTTGTGGATCAAAGCCTTTGAATATATACAGACTATTTCAATTACATGCATTTTACACTGTCTCCTTTTAATGGTGGGTATTCTCCGAAATATGGCTTAAATAATCGTGCTAGTATTTGACTCCATGGGTCCAATGACTTAAAGGTATTTCAATAGAACTCATTTGATTAAAAGACCCTTTCTTAAAAACAGTTCTCGTTATGGACGAGGGAAATCCATTTAGGAAGAGAAGACAAAGGGGAGAAGCAAAGAATGGCACAAATCAGTGGTAGGAGTGAAAGAGACTGCCAGCTTGCCGGTTGGGAGCCAGGTAAGGTGTGGGTGGAGGTGAGAACCAAGCCCTGGCTCAACTTCGCTCTGGACAGACTTTCAAGGTCTGGGCATCAGTACCTTTAACGATCAGGTAGGCGATGGCGAGGAGGAAAGCGAGGAGGATGGCGAACAGCAGCGAGCAGAGAATAGACAGGACCTGTTTCGGCCATCGCCGAGCCTGGGCCCGGTTACGCGTAGCTGCGGGGAAAATGCCATTGCGTTTATCGGGTAGGACGGGCGACCCATCCCCGTCCGGCGGGAGAAGCTGGGGGCCCCTTCTGGGCTCCAACGACGCCCCGGCTGAGAACTCCGCTCGCAAGTCACGGGCCACTTGATCGCATCCTTCCACCTCATCAACTTCGCCTTCACCCCAGCTGTCCCCCTGAGAGAATACAGAATACACAGGCCGAGAGAAAGGTGCTGGGGTGCTAAGACCGCGACGCCGCGGAGCCGAACGCCTGCCGCTGTCCACAAACGACATGGCGGGAAATAACCACAGAACGGCGGGGGCCCAGAGTTTCCCACAGCCCCGCCCCTCCCTCGTCTTCGCCAATCAGCAGCCGGGCTACGCCACGGCCTCGACCACTTAGCTCAGGGGCTCAGGGGTGCTAAAGGGTGGGCTGTGGAGCCAATAAGGAACCACGGAGCAGGAGGCGAGGCTGTGCCATCCGAGACAGGAGCTCTATCCCGCTGCAATAGGCGGGAAGGGATACAGAATTGTGGGTAGGGAAAGTCAAGCCGAGGCCGGCTGCAGACAAGTCACCCTTCCCTGCAGCGTTTCGTCCTGGCCAAAGACCTCTGGCACTGCTGCGTTGCCTCCAGAAGAGCGCGAACCCAGGCAGCCCCAAAGCCGCATCTTCTTGACGCCGGGTCCTAGCGCCCGCCCATACCACTCTGATACACATTTCTAACCTATTTGCTTTCTCCCTTCTTCCCCTCTACGCTCACACTCTTCTTTAGCCTCCCTGCTAACAGGAGCTCACCGCCCGGCGCGCTCGCTCCGCCTTATCGACCCACCTCTTTCTGCCTTTCGCGTTGTTCCACCCGCCCCTATCCACAACTTCCCTCCACGCTACTCGACACGCCTTCTTCCCCCGTCCGCCTCGGCACGCGCTCAGCAGCCGGTGCCTCTGAGCTCGAACTCTCGCAGGACGACTCCTCGCGCCTTCCCCGCCCCTCCCCTTTGCTTCGAGCAAGGCGCGCGCTCGCGCGCTCCCGGCCCCAGCCACCGCTAACGATAGAAGCTGCATACCCCGCCCCCACCCCACCCTACCCTATCCCTGGCGGCCTCATGTTAGTGGGGCGTGAGTAACTTGGGCGGGGGGGGGGTGAAAGGTGGCAAGCCCCCACTGCCCCACCCGCTATGGGGTGAGGCGGTCTAAGCCCGGGAAGCTGGGACGCGGTTGTCTTCCCTTTCCCGGGGGAAGTTGGTGGAGTTTTCCCGGCAGAGGACTCGGCGCAGAAACTTCCTCCGTCCCCTTCCCCCCCCCTCCATGCAGGCGACGCCGAGTGAGGCTGAGGCTGGGGGCGAATCGCCGCAGAGCTGCGTGTCGGCAGCGCGCTCTGATTGGACAGTGGGGAAGCCTGTCAGCTTATTGGCCCCATTGATCCCGCCCCGCAGCTCAGGGCAGCCTTTAACCTTTGGCCCCAGCGGGCGCCAGCCACTCAGATCGCTTCTTGTTGGTATGTGTAGCGGCAGTGGCCGCCGGCGGAGCAGTCTGAGTCCGACGATGAGGCCGGGGACGGGAGCTGAGCGTGGAGGCCTCATGGTGAGTGAAATGGAGAGCCATCCTCCCTCGCGGGGTCCCGGGGACGGGGAGCGGAGATTGTCCGGCTCAAGCCTGTGCTCCAGCTCTTGGGTCTCTGCTGACGGCTTCCTGAGGAGACGGCCTTCGGTAAGGGATCGGTGGGGCAGGGGGAAGCGGCACAATGAAAAACGGAGTCAGAGACAGGAAGCTTTCTCCAAAAGGAGAAGAAGATAAGAGTGGACGAAGGAAGCGCTCGAGATGGTGGCATATGTCTCGAGGGAGAGAAACGGAGAGCGGGGATGCACAAAAGAAGGATGTAGGACCCTGGAAGTTCCCAGTCGGCTTGGCCTAGACAGATGCGCGCTGAAGGTGTTGAACCCTGGGCGTGCTGCGTCTTGGAGCTATAGGCCCGTTTTAGTAAGGAAATTTGATTCTCTAAGACTTTAAAAGAAGCTAGCAAAATTTGATTTCTCTAGTAGTGGTGGTGATACGCAGGGGGTACTGCTTGATTAATTGGCAGGGGATAATTACCTGGAACAATGGACACGTCTGTAACGAAAGTTGTCTTTTAAAAGTGCATTAAAGTGGGTGAATTATTGTTTGCACTTAGTGTCTGAGTGACAGAATATTAAGTCTTTGAAACTGTGTTTTGGCAAATGGAATTTTACCGGTCTTAAAAGTTAGGTTAGTAACTGTTAGTAGACAGGTGTCTCTGGGGACCCACACTTTTGTGTTTTATAATACCAGCCCTCCTTTAAATGAATTTGGTAAATTAAGCATTTTAAAGTCAGTAGTGCTTAAAAAAGTGTCAGCTGTCTTTTATGTCTGTTTGAAATAGGACAAAGTTCAGGTTTTCACCAACAGTTTTTAAGTTGGCTTTATACATATACGTGCATATACATACGAATATACATATACGTATGTGTATGTGTATATATACATATATATATATATATATATGTTTAATCTTCCAAGCTGAGCAAATCAGTAGCTGATTAAATTAGAGCAAAACAACTGATCTAGCTGTCCAATAATTATTTAATTTGCAAGCTTCTCAAATACTAGTGTGGTGCTTTTTTTTTTAATAGGAAAGTATAAACTAATACAATAATTTGGGCACAAATTAGCCTAATATTATGTACTGAAGGTAAGTGATTTGTTGAAGTGAGATTTTTTTGAGAATCATTTAATGTGAATTGCCAAGTTTTAAATTTTCTCTTTTTCAGATGGGGCACCCTGGCATGCATTATGCACCAATGGGAATGCACCCTATGGGTCAGAGAGCCAATATGCCTCCTGTACCTCATGGAATGATGCCACAAATGATGCCCCCTATGGGAGGGCCACCAATGGGACAAGTAAGAATGTTATGTTTTTATTTTGTTTGGTTTTGTCTATATTTTTGCCTCAGGTATTGTGTTAAAATCTCAAACTCTAGGTCAATACTGTGCTTGTAGCTATTTAAGGATTAGTTGATGCCCAAATAATGTTTTTAAATAAGACTAATGTTGAATCATGACTGTAACTAAATTTTGAATGTAATGAAAGGCTTCTGTATAAAACCTTTTACTTTTACTACTTCAATAAAATTAAAGAGTTTTTTTTAAATTTAAAAGTCACAGCACATATCTAGTTTTTTAACTTAATGACTATAAAGCATGTCAATTGAAGTTAATGTTCTAAGAGTAAATATTATCTGATATGTCAGCATAACTAACTTTGTTGGGCCATGTAAATGCATAGAATCAGAAAATATTGCTTATACTTTAGGCTTAAAATAAATTTTATTCTAGAAATATCTTCCTCTTTGTGTGTAGGGGTGGGGGTAGGGAGATTTAACGCTCTATTTATTCTGATTCTTCATAGGACAATGTCAAATCAATAGTTGATTTTCTAGTAACACTATTTTATTTTCTTAAAAAGAATGTTTATTGCTTCTGCACTCCTACTTAGTGAGCTGCCCCTTCCATCTCTAGCATAAACTGTAAATGGACATTTTGAGGGAGTTGATATGAATCAAAAGGTTATCATGCTGACTCGGATACTTTGGTAGAACTGAATTTCTAGAGAAATCCAAGAAAGGCAACAGGTTCACTTACCATAGAATAATTGTGTGCCCTATGCTAGATTCTGTAATACAGAGACACTTAGGTGGCTGGGTTATTTCTATTTGAGTATCTTGATAAGTAATGAAAATTTTAGGCTAGCAAAAATTTCAGAAATTATGTATGATCTTGTGCTAATGAGTACTCTTTGCTTTGATTATTGTTTAAGCCTTGATGGATAAAGTTTTTGGTGAAATTTCAGTGGAAAAAGGAGCTTGCTGTAACTCTTTTTACTTAACCTTATGAGTAGAAGGGCTGAATGTCAAGTGGTTTTCTTCTTTTATATTTGGAATATAGCCCTTAATTTTGTATAAAAATCTTTACTCAGAAGTATCAGACCTAAAAGATTCTGCCTGCAGGAGGAGTTCTTTATATAAAAGACTCTTTTATTCTGTTATTCCAGAATAACACAAATTTTAAAACTGCCTAGGAGATGCAGAGACAACTCTTGGTTCCTCTTCTGTTTCTTTCCATCTCTAAGCAGCAAGGAGCTGCTCTTGTTTTCTTTATAGAGCTGCTCTAACTAGATAATGAGCTTTTAAAAAATATTTATTCTTTAAATGCTCTGGTTCTTATTTAAAATTAGTTTCTTTCCACAGAAAGATAAAATAAAACAATTTGCTACTGCCAGATGCTTCTCTCTTTTCTGGGGCCTTCTGTTTCCATTGGGCCAGTCAAGGTAAGTTTTGCAAGGGATTGACCTGCTTACCCTTGCTGTCATGGTGCTGTTGCACTATCAAAGCCAAGATACCAGCTAGTCATTTTTAATAAAATGCAGATTTTATTTTTTAAAGTAGTTTCATGTATCTCATTGACATAAGCTGGTCACAATTTATTTTATGGCCCTTTCTTTTTAGCTGCATTAGTGACCATCTTTCTAGTAAGTTAACTTGCTACTCAGTGTACATCAGTTCAGAGACTGAATTTTGCCTTGTGGTTTTCTTCTGCATTTTTTTCTAGGCCAGTGTATGCCATGTGCCTTTAAGTATACCTGATTATTTAGAGGCTTAGAATTCTTTCTCCCTGTGTTGGCTCATGTTAGGATAATGAATGAATGTTTTAGGAGTCTAGTTCTGAGGTTCCCAAGAGTTTCCCTTGTTGTCTCAAATTTAGATCATCCCCTTTTGACCTAATGTCTAACAAGTTTGGGTCCCAATTATTGATTGGTAAAGCTAATTCTTATTTTAGCTTTATTAGCACATGTGATAATTCTGGGAAGCATGGATAATTTCAATCCTCAATAATTGAAGAATCTTATTTAAAGCTCTGGTGAATATGCCCTTAAAAATGAAAGTTAATAATAACAAAATTTATTCTTGCTGCATCATTTTTTCTCTCTACACATTCTAAGAAATATTAATGAAAAAGTAAGTAGTGAGAAGATAACTGAAAAGAAGCAGGGTGCCCCTGTCAGTCACAGCAGTGATGGTAGGGTTCTGCCATCCAATCTTAAAGTTAATTTACACATTACATAAAAGACTTGGGACTCTTGGTTATGGAACCTTGATGTGCAGTTTGCAGTTGGTCTTCCATAACCTCCAGATTCCACATCTGTGGATTCAGCCTACTTTGGGTTGAAAACATTAAAAGCATAAAGTGTATCTATACAAAATGTGTACAGGCTTTTTTTTTTTTGGTCACTATTTCCCTAAACAAAATAACATAACAACTATATAGGTGTAACACATATGTCTTATTAGTTATTAGAATAATCTAGAGGTGATTTCAAGTATACTGGAAGATGTGCATAGGTTATATGCAAGTACGGTGCCTTTTTTTGTATAAGGGACTTGAGCATCTGTAGATTTTGGTGTCTGTGGAGTGTCCTCGAACCAGTCCCTTTTAAATACTGAGGAACAACTGTATTGACCACATCTTTCATTAAGATCTCTTGCTGGGACCAGCTGAAGATTTAAAAGTCTTTCTTGCCAAATGATTATGGTCTTTGGAATGTTACTGAATGACATGAAATTTTAAGGTGCGTTTGTAAAATAACATAGAGAGGATAGAGTAATGATCTAAGAAGTCAATTAACAACTTTTGAAATGCAACAAGTTAATTTAAAGAAGTTATATGTTGCTGCTGCCTATAATCCCAGGTACTTGGGAGGCTGAGGCAGGAGGATTATAAATTCAAAGCCAGCCTCAGCAATTT